GTTTAAAATGATTTTGAGGCAAGTTAAGCACCGTGAACTTTCATTGCTACCTTGTTTTTTTTAACACATGGTGCAAAAACTTTCCTTACAAACAGAACTTGGTGCAAGTTAATTCAAGTTGTAGCAAGTAAGGGGAGGCTTGTGTGAGTGCTGAGAATCAGAACTGTGTTGAGTTTCTCACCAGCCAGTGTAAAGCACTTCAAAATACCCTACTTTCCCTAAAATTTTCCAAATAAGCTATTTATTTATGTGTTAAATTTAAAATAGAACTCCTATATAGGGAGCTGTTCTTTAAAAAGACACCACCCAGTCTCTTTTTGCCTTTACCTGGCAAGTAATACATACAGAACATTAATAATAAATACAGAAGCTAGTAGATTCTAATGTCTTTTGCTGCTTAGATTTCTTTTTGCCAGTGCTGAAACCTTGACCCAAGCATTATCATTTCCAGCATGCAATGCTTAGTTCCAGCTTTATACCTTTCCTGTTCCTCTCTGCTGTCAAAATTATCTTTGACCACATAACGATGAATCTCCTGTGCAAATTCATTGCCCTCTCTACTTACCTTTGAAATGTGAGCTTAACACTCCTGATCTTTACTCTTGGCCACTATGATATTCTGCTCCCAGTCACTAAATGTTCTTCTTGAAGCCCCTACACAATTTTCAGTCTTTTATGCTATGCTTAAAGCCTGATTTTGGTATGTCTTCCAGAGTCCTACCATAGATTTTTATCTTTAATATTTACTTTTTCCTTTACATCAGTTCAGAAACCCCTTTTTTTAAAGTCTTTATATATTGCTATATTCACCAAGTATTTTTAAGCTCTCTGTCATATTGAGTCTGTTTCTCTCCCTTTTGGAATATGCATATTGATCCTTACCAGAAATGTTTCCACATTATAGTGACAACAGGCATGGTTTTTTACCTTATTTTTTTAGGAGCTGCTAAAAAAGTCCCTGATCTTCCTACGCTATTTGACAGGCTTCTTTTTGACAGCATCACCTGAGAGATGTTGGAACAGCTTAGTAACTGAATGTATTAGATGGCAGAAAACACTTACTCTCCTCTCAAACATCTATGTTTGTAATGGCCTATCAGCATCAGTGCATCCAGGAGGGTTCAAAAGGCTCAATGCTCTTATTACAAATAAATAAAAATTATTGGTTTTGTGTAACACTCTTCCCCGCAGCATAAAAAAAATGATATAAATAACCAAAGTAAAAAGCTCAAAATACAGTTTTCTTCAAGTTGTATAGGATTGCAGCAATTCTCTCCAAGAGATTCATTGTACTGGTGCTTTAAAATTTCTATCATTAATTTTGGACTGAGTAGCAACTTAGAGCAAATGTCACTGTGAAACACCCTCTCTTCTAAGCAGAGGCAAAGAAAATACTACCCAAACATAACACAAAGGTTTTACTATATTTGTATTCTCACCATAATCCCAGGTTACCTTTCAACTGTTTAAAACATGCATTTTTTTGTCTTCTGTGACACTTGCAGTTTCAAATTAGTTTGCATGTATGTGTTTGTGTGTCTCCTTCCTGCATGTAACCATTTTGTTTATAACTAAGCTGAAAATTCTTCCATGTAATTTGTTCCTGCATGAGAAAGAAAAGTATTGAAAGTTTCTCTACCCACCTGCTCAGAAATTCTTTGTTTGGCAGATGAATATTTTACATTTAGCAGGCAGTAAGAAATTTGCAGGGAAAGAGAGAATAAACTATTTTTTCTATGAAGAACTTTACTTTCCTCCAGGGCAACTAAAGTTTTGTGACAAAGATAATGTTCTGGACTTGTTCTTGATTTTTTATTTTTTAAACTACCAAAATTCTTAGTTTTGACAATGAGAATTTCACTGGAAAATGCCTGATTCTCTCTGTTTAGGTCAATAGGAACCCATGACAAGAACCTGCAGGTTTGCTAGACATGGTTTTGTGTCAATGCTTAAGCTCACTAAGAATTTGGCTTTGCATGCTGAAACCATGCTGAGACTGATACAAATGGCAGGACCTTCATTTAAAAACCTAAAATGTCACTTCCTGACATTGGTGATAATTCTTCACTTTCAAAAACTAACCATTTTACTATGGTTCTCTGACTTGGGATAGAACAGGAGATTTCCTCTTACTTTTCAATATAAACACCAACATAAAGTTGATTTAAGTATTTCTCTACTTATAATGATCAGCCTCCATTAGTATATCCATATCAGAAAACCTTCATCACTATAATAAAGTATTTGATCAATCTGACTATAGTCAGCAGTGGCAATTATACACAACAGTACTAAAAGTCAAAAGTTTTAGAATTCTAACTTCGGGATAGAAGACAGAGGTGGAGTAGACTCCAATGTAATTTGAAGAATTTAGATTTGATTTAGATTTATATTAGATATTCCTCTTCTGCTGCTCACAAAGTAGGCAAGTTACTTCGCTAATGTACACTGTTTATGTCTTTTCTATTTGAGCTGCACTGTTATACAAATACTATTTTTTTGGATAAAGATCATTATGTAGCATGTGACAAGTGGCTTCATATTAACACCCTTCTTTCTCTGCTAAATGGAAAACAGATAAAACATTAATGGAAAAGCATTTTGGTGTCAAAGCCATTAACATTCTTCCAAAATGTGTAACTGCTCTCAACTATCTTCCATCAATTCTGCCAACATAAAAAGATGCTCATGTACATACATGGGGAATAGGAGAGTAGGGAGGGGAAGGGAGGAAAGAAATTGGAATGAGGAATGGGAAATTAAAGTAATGTCTGCACTACGATAGGCATCTTCATTGAGCAGGAACCTGGGTGTTTACAAAAGGACACGTGCAATTAGAAAGGCAAGCAGATGAGAGGAGAAAAAAACAAAACAGGGTTGAGAAACAGCAGCAGCAGCAGCAGCAGCCAGTTTTACTTCTGGTTTGGTGGGAAAAAAAAGGCAAAAGAAAACCAACAAAACAATCAACCAAACAAACAAACCAATAACTGAATAAGGTTTGTAACTATTTTTTTTAATTTCACAAGTTTTCACAAGGACAAAGTTATAGAGGGAAACCCACAGCAGTTGCTAGGTCATGCAGAACCATTAATTTTCATACCTTGGCCCATTCTATTCATCCTTGTTGCACTTTAGAAAAAGAAGTAAGCTATGTAAGTTTTACAATGCTTTTAAACTGTCATATTTCTGGTTGAGCACTTTAACTGGCACATCCTTGTAGCAATAAATATTCTGAGGGCAAAACACGATAACTTTCTTTGCAAAAAGGAACACGTGAATTTTTCTTTATGATGAAGAGCAACTGTAATAGTCTCATTTGTAGGGGAGCAACCATAATTTGCAATGTATTTCACTGATTGGACTTACAGCTGCGTTTGAATGCACACTCACACATATAGACTGTATTCCAATCATTATGCTCAGCACTGCACAGTGGTATTCTCTGTAGCCCACTTACACGGTTCCAGGTTTTGTCAGTAAAAGTGCTTGGCTTTATTGTCAATTCACACAGCAAGCAAATCTTCAAAATTATCATGCTTGGGGAAGGGGAAGGTAGAAGACAAAACTAACCATAAAAGCACCTTGATTGGGTTGGCAGTTACAATGCTAATCATTCAAATCTAAGTATTTTTCTGTCTGCATGCTTTCTTGCTGGATAGCCAGGGAAGAGGGTATGTGTTTCTGCCTTCCCTACCCTCGGAAACCCTCCATAACCTAGAGCTAGCTGTATATTTCAAAATATACATTGGCTTCTGAAGTTTAAACCAAGAAAAAAAAAGTAAAAGCAAGCCTGAACTATCATTCCTATGGCTGTCTAGGGCAGGTTCCTTTCCACTACTTTATTTAGTTCCCTGCCACAACTTTGTTTGGCCACATGTGTCATTGGTGACAATTTGCAAGAACTAAATTCTGGCAAGTGCACGGAACGCAATGCCTCAGCACTGTGAATATTTCCAACCCAACCCTCTTGTTCTCCTCATTAACAGTCTGGGGCACAGCACCTTTTCTCCTCAAATGGGAGAGATCTAAAGGCACTCAGTTGTCTTCCCTGTATTCCTGCACACTGGCATGCACCTGTTGAAAAACCCAGGTACAACATGCAGCAAGATTTCTGGAGGTTCTTCACATATTAGGACTCTTGTTGGAAGATTTATATGAACACTAACTTGGAAAAGTTAAACTACCATCTGGGGAAAGGAACAAAGTCCCTGGAGATCTGATATGTAAGCATAGAAAAATGCTTGCTCTTTTCTGAACATTATTTATTCTGTACATAAGGTGACTAATTCACCTTTTAAAGACGTAAAAGTCCCAAGAAGGCAGTTTTTAATGACTTACATCCAATATTTATGATACATATGGCTTTTTATCCCAAATGTCAAAAGTGAAAGAAAATATAGCTATTCATGTGGCAATATAAATAGACAGAATAATAATTTAATATGCAATTAGACTCTTTCTAAACTTAAATTAAACCATTGGAGTTGTAAAACTTCATGCCCCGACAATTTCAGTGTTAAAGGGAAAATACACCATCTCCAAAAGACTAATATTTTAGAGAAAGTTCTTAAACAAGCAGAAAAGTCCCTGATATTGCTTTGGTATAAAGCAGATGTCTAGCAATAATCTATACAAGGAGTGTAAGCCCTATATAATATAAGCCTTGAGAGTGAAAAATCAGCAGGGATTTTTTTTTTTTTTGCATGGTTTTTGTTTTTTTTCAATAGGAGAGTTTTATAAGCTTCAAATAAATGTATGAGCTCCTGTAAATATGAGTATTAAAAAAAACCTACTGCAACATACATCAACACTTCTGCACTAAATGACTTTCTTTGTGTAACTCTGACATCAAGAGCAAGTGTTCATGTTAAATATACTCTATTTTCGGATATGTAGAGTAACTGCAGTGAGTTATTTATGTTTTCAGTGTGCCTATGGGTTTGGAATTCTTTTTTTATTCTCCCCTAGCATCATAAATAACTTTTGGTCCGTCTGCTTTGTTGCTGTTGTGCTTAAGGGTTTTATGGTGGTGAAATAAAAATGACAATCACATGCACACTGTCATACATATGCAAAATATGTGTACAAAAAAGGGAGAACTCCATGGGAAAACAGGGAACATTACTGCTGGAAACATTAACCGGGGAGAATGGGTGGTGAATGCAAGTTTCACACACAGTGGGAGCAGATACACATATCAAAGTCTATCTTCCTGCACATACTTCTGTTTGTCCCGGGAATCTCTGCTCTTGGTGCGGTTCGGTCGGTTGGCTGTCGATGGGATGGAGTGAACTGATGAGCTCTTCTTGCTGGAAGAGTAGGAGGAATGGGAGGAATGAGAAAGGCTGGCTCGGGACTGGCCAGCGTTGTGGTCAAATTGCATCAAACAGAAGATCAAGTCCGTCGGCACAAGCTCAAATTCATATGGTGGGTTTGTGATAACATAACTGGGAAGAAAGGAAGACAGAAAAAAAGAAAGAAAAAGAAAATAGGTTTAGATTTACACTAAAAAATTTCTTCTAGAGTTGTTAGCTCAGGAACACTTAGCCAAATTTTTGCATTTCTGTTTGTACCTAGTTTTAGCTCACATAATTCCCACTATAGATTAGGACCTTTTTAAGTCAGCTGTCACTTTTTTATGTTTTCTTTCAGACAGACAAAATTCCTGGGAATGATGTTCTTCAAGTGAATCACATAATGATTTTTCAGAGAAACCACCATAGAAATCATGCTCCTTTCTCTGGCTGCACCATAATGCAATGACTCTAGCAAATATATTTATATACTGACAAAAAACAGTACCATACCCACCACAAACAGTATTTAAAAGAATGGCTGAAAGGCAGAGAGAGGAGGATTTCACATGCAGCTTATTTAAATACATATCACATTTAAATACATATTTACATAGTTATTAAATATTTAAATACAGTCAATAGAACAAGGGATATAATTATTGGTTTGGATTGTGACTGTAGTTAAAACAAGTTAAGGAAAATACATCAATAACTTTATAGCAAGGTTAATTTTGTTCATTCACTCCACATGTACATTCATGGCCTCAAAGAGCATTTATAAAGAGAAATCTGCACATCTAAGAATCCAATTTATTGCTTAGTATAAATCCCAGGCCTGAAATAAGAACTTGCTCAATTTCAAGAATCCCCACCTTCACCTAATGGCCTTTCAGGGTATGAAGAACTTATAGAGCAGCTGCTAAATTTTTTCATGCATGTGAAAAACAGACTTGAGCGAGGCAATCGGCATTTTCTGTCCAAGCAAGAAATGAGTAAAAATTGAACATAAAGCTCATGACTTCTTTTCAAATTAATTCAATGCTCATAAGAAATCTGCTTAGCTGCTTCAGGGACAGAAGTCCCTTATTACGCCAACAACTAATCCCAAGTATAGTAACTACAGTGTAAATCTAAACTGCAACTCAATTTTTCTACCCAATTTATTCAAATTCTTACAGAAGAAGCCGCCTTGGTGGGCTGCAGTGCTGTTTATTGCCATGTTCACCCAATAATGATGCTTTCTGTAGAGCATGAAACAGTAACAGATGGTAGATTTGTGATACTTCTGGTATGGGTCTGTGTGTGTATTTCTAGGAAGCAGTTAATTAAGACACATTTCAAGCAAGCTGCTAAATGGCCTTCAGTTTGCAAAGATGGAAATGTGTCTGCTCTATTTAAAGCACTAAGGTCAGGCTTGGCGCTACTGAAGTAAAAATGTAGTCTACCAAGAGAAGGGTTTCCATTTACTGGAAGAAATTATGCTTAGACACAGTTGGTACTGATGGGAAGCCCACAGGAGTATTATTTGAGCATTCAGAAAAAAGACTAGCTACTGTAATTTAAATTATTATCCCACAACTTGGAGTTGATTCATATAAGGGAACTGAGGTCCTTTCCTTGCAGGCAAACAGTGGATCATCATAGAGCAAACAAGCTAAAGATGCACTCTGAAAATTTAATTAAAAATTTTTGAGTAATATCAGCTGACACCTTACACTGTGATATCCAGCTTATGATTTAAAGTCAGACAGAATCATGGTGAAATCTTTAAAGAGGGTTGTGGAAAAGTTATGCAAAAACGGAGCAAGCTCTTTTTTATATTTATTACAGGCACTGGGCTTTTCCTTGCTGAGAAGACTGAAGAGCAGTGAAGCAGAGATGTTCTAAAAGACCAGACTCACCGTTTAGTGCATTGGCTGGGAGTACTTAGATGTGCATCCCTTAATCGATAAATTCCAAAGCAAAGCATATTGTATGTTTTCAGTGCTTTACAAAACAGATCTCCATAACAACCTCCGTCCTAGAGGAAAGAGAGGAGGTTAAAAAAAAAAAAAAAAGAGAACAGCACATTTTTTTCCTTTCTTTGCTCTGTTAACACAATGTCAGGGAACAGGTCGTGCAGTATGAACTTAGAAAAAAAGGGACAATGTATAGACAGTCTGTTCTTTGTCTCAAATGAGAGCCTTTCACCAAAAGAAATGAATAATCTAAATGTTTTATTTCAAATTAGTAAATATGTAAAGTGATGATTGTTATTTTGGAGAGCCTTAGTCCATAAAATAATGGCAAATTAGAAAGAGAGAGTGATTTGCTTTAAGCTGGAAATCTAAATTTTTGTACCAGACAATACATATTCTACAAATTACATTAACTGTGGTATTAAAATTGTTAGCATCTTTTACCCTTCCTTGGCAGCAGTCATACTGTCATCCAGAAAAAAAAAATTGAGGAGCACAACAAAAATTAGAGTTCAATGGGTTTAAAAGGATAATAAATTATCTGCTGCTGTAAAATAATGACTAAATGTATGATTAGCAAAAAATAAGTTGAGATTTGCTCATCTGTATATCCAAATAGTGATTCTTTAATAATCATGAGTGTCGATGCATTCTGCCTTCACAGATGTAGTGCAATTGAGGCTCTGGTGAAACAGCCTTCAAAAGATTGGTGTTGCTTATTTTATTTGTGGAAATGTTAGATGAGTTTTGCCAAAGAGTTTTGATGTGCTGCTAGTCTCAGCTGCAACTAGACTGCTACAACACCTGAAAGGCTGTAGGCTTCTATCTGTGCACTCTTGCCCTCATCCTTAAACTGGGATTCCCTGTCATTTCTGTGAAGGTCATTCTGTTCTTTTTGGACAGGGCTGGTCAACACAGGGTTAATTTAAGAAACATCAAATCCTACATTGTCATCAAAGCAGAGTGGGTGCTTTGGGATTACCTCAAGATTTCATAATGTGGTCCAGAAAACACTTCTAGATATTTTAGTTTTATATAATGCACTATTTTTAAAAGATCATTTATTTATTTGGTTTGGGATTTTAATTTTTTTTTTTGCTTGTTTTTTACTTCACTCTTAGAACAGTGCAGTCAAATTATCAGAAGATGAGGATTTCATAAGAATTTTAGTTCATCCAAAACCAGCAGAAACCAAACCTTACAAACCTTTGTTTTCAAGCTAATAAGCAGATTTCAAGAACTGGAAGCTCTGTGAAAACACTGAATAAGCTTATCAACACCCCAAAAAAGGTATATCTATACCTATTGAATAAATTTAGAATTCATTATTGCTATAATGTTTATATCATCCATATCAGCTCATCCATCTCTTTAGCTGACAATGAAGAAGAGCCACAGGATTTTCTGTATGAAATATGCAGGCAGGGATCCTGGGCAATCATACAGCTTCTTAAAAAGGTAAAGAGCAAACCTGGCACTCTGTGCTATAAATTTTTAAACAATCCAAAAGCTCTATTAAATTCAATAATAGAAATTATATGCTTATTGAGATAGATTTTTCACTCAAGCCTGAGAGACAGCTAATAGAGCACAGACCAGCCTTGGCTCTGCATTTCCCTCATGATCTTACCCCTAGGTCTGCAAATGGCCCATCATACAAAGCCAACTGAGCAACTCGACACCTGTCCCTGTTTGCAAGTGTCTGGGGCGTGCTGTAACCTCCTCTCAATGCATTTTCCTCAGCAATCAGTGCTTCCAGCTCTGGTGTGGCTCCTCCTGTTACCAATGTCCGTATCAGTGTGAGGATATTGTCATTGAAGTATGTCTGCAGAGATAAAAGAAAGCTCTTTAAGCAAACACCATTAAAGTCACAACTGAAGACATCCAAATTACAACTTTTCCGGGTTTCTGCTGTTTAAAGTTCTTGGCTGTCTCTTCAAATAATTTTATATAGAAAGTGAAAAGACAGCAACCTCCAATTACTCTATTTTCTTCTTTCCCATTAGGCTCCTATACTAGATCCTTCCTTTTAAACACCAATTCAGGCTGATTTTTATTAAAGTACAAAAATTTGAATGATTTCTGTTTCCTATAATTGGTGTTAGTAGTGATGCAATGACTGCTTTCCTTCTCATCGCCCTCATGTCTCATAATGGGCTTTAGGACATGTAATTGTAAAATTCAGACCACATTTAAAGCTTACACAGGCTAGATTGCCTTTTTACTCTTGTCACCAATTCGTTGGGGAGCTGCCTTTGTGCTGCAAATGTCATTACTTATTACTGTGGCTGGACTCTAGCAGTCTAACCGATGTATTGTACTAAACATCTTATTACGAGACTTGACAGTGTTCAGACATAAGCATGTATCAATTAAACATCTTGAGTTCATTCCAGATAAATGTATGATGAGTTGGGGATCCTGGTGGTCCTTTTAAAAAACTCTAGGGTATAGGGTAAGTGTGGTTTATTAGGGAAGATTTACTCCACACTGACATTTTGCCAGCATCTGTAGCATTGCTGGTCTGTCAGGCAAACAATGGGTATTTAAAATATTAATTTAAATCCAGATGAATGACTTTCAAGTTCACTTAAAAGTATACTGGTATAGTTCAGACATACTCAGTTAAACCTCTGCAATGTATTGTACCGGGCAAAAAAAATGTTGAACAAAAAAAAGGAGAGATTGTCACTTATAATGTCACCAATGTCTGAGTTTTCAGAAGCTTTGAAAGTGCAAGGAACATAAAAGGAAAAAATGAGCTCACTGTAGAGTACACAGGATTGACATTACTGGATTTCTGGATTTTGTTGAATTTAGGACTTATAACAAATGCCTGTAATCCAAGCAAGTAAAAATGAATAGTGAATTCTCCAACAGTGCTTGTTGTCTAAAGATAAGACTTTTAAAATAATACTTTTCAATGAAATTCATTGCTCTAGCCATATAATGTAACTGCATTTAATACATGGGTAAACTGAGGTAGAGGTTGAAATATTTTATCCTGAGATCAAAAAGCAAAACTGGCTTCCTATCCATGTTGCTTTGATATTCTTTCTTTGTATAATGAAACTTCAGTTTCATTGTTTGCTGGAGATGACAGATAAAACAGAAGAAAATGAGTTCTACGCAGCAATGTTTTTCAATTTACATTGAAGTTTCCTAACTTCAAGCTTCTCTGCTTATTTTCATAGGCATATATGCCATTCACCTGTTGACTAAATTAAAATGGGGAACGTATTCTTACTGTTATACATGCCCTAAAGCAAATACTTGCATCTCATCAACTCCAATTATTTAAGTTAACCTGGTTAAGGCAGTACATATTTTAGCTACAAAGCATATTGTAAGGAGTAGTCTGACATAAGCAGAGGTTCATGAAGATTCAGCCAGTCTAAAACAAGAGCTGATCTCAAATCAGCTCTTACACATGTGGATGCACTGGGTAACAATTCAAGTGTAATACTCAAACCTCTCTTAACTTATAGAAAAATCAATGTGACCCCTTGCAGGAATGTAAGTCTGGAGCGATTACATGATGTTTAATAGGAATTGCCACCGTGAGAGAGAGAAGACATTCAGCCATGATTGTTTATTTTGCAATTACTTCTTTCTTGATGTCCCTGAGATGAAATCAGAGTCACCCTCTTTGGCAACTCTTTCCACTGTGCTATACCTCTAAGGCAAAGCTAAGACCCTTATTAGCAAAGGAAGCAGCATTTATTGTGGAACAGTGGCTTAATTTGGGTTTCACACCATGACTGATGCGGATGGACCATTCAATCAGATGGATGAGTGCAGCTAAAAGATATTTCTTGGGTTTGCTTTTTTTTTTTTGGTTTTTTTTTTTTGCAATCATTGGGAGAAAATATTCCAAGGTTCAGGACAAACTGCTGCAGCATTGCATCTGATCAGAAAATGTCCAACCATAAGCAAGAAAAGATGGGTGAATAGGAAGCTGCAACTTCTCACCTTCCCTAAACAGGGTTACTTCCTTCTGTACTAAAGTATTTAGCACTCCTCAAGAAAAAGCTGCTGCCCATGCTTTTGATTGTCACAAAAATCAGACTCTGCATTGCCAGTTTGGAACTAGGGAAACACTGAAAAGCTGAACTAGCTGATATCCATTTCCTTTGGAATAATAATACGCTGAAATTAATTTGAGAGTGATCTTCTACTTGCTCTGTGGGAGGGTACATGGCCTGAATATGCCAGTACTTATAAGAAACTGATCTACAGAATGCCTTTGGAAAGGTGCTATTGTACTTAAAGTAACAAAGCACTTTCCAGTGATGGAAAAGAATCCCTTTTGTTGAGTGTACATCAAATCTGAAGAAATACTTGTTTGCTATTGTTGTTAACCAAACCCCACATTGGACATGTGTGTGATACCACTTTAATCAGCATCTGGAATGAGAGTATGAAATAGGTGTATTCTAAACACAGGAAAAAAGAAATGCATCACAGACAAAAACTGGGTAAATAGCAAGGAAATTGTGACACAGATATCTGAGCTAGCAGTGCCACCTAGCCATTGCTTCAGAATTGTAGTGCAGCTCTTTCAAATGTTTCAAGGATGCTTTCCCATTTGTTCAATCATTTTTAAAGTATAATTACCAGAGTGCTTATGTTTTGCAGTTAATGCTGTCATGTCTTTTAAACTAATTGGTCTTCTACAGAAAATTTAACTGAAAATTAGCACATCTTTTAATAATATTGCTTTAACTTTAATAGCACTTTGCCTTTCATTTATAATTACACTAAAATTGTCATTTTTCAAGCTATATCTGCCTTTTTTGTGTTTGCTAGTGGGTTTTTAAATGAATTTCTTTTAAGAAGACTCCTCCTCCTCCTCCACCACATGTGGTTTTTAACCTCACTTTCAAACAAGTATTTTAAGTTGCTTTTCTCATTGAGTTGAAGGAATAATATATATCCAAACCTGAGGAATGACTGAGCTAACATCAGTAATTCATACCAATAACAAAAGGGTCTTTAAGACAGAATAAACACCAGACAATAACTAAGAGCATTTCACCATTTGAAAATCTATTAATTCTTAAACTATTGTCTAAGCTTTAAAGAAGATTGGAACACTTTAAGTTACAAGATGCTGCTTACTAATTCTCTGAACAGAATTGCATGAAAAATAGTCTTGTGTTCACATCAAAGATTAGAGAAGTTTATTTTCTGTATAAATAAGACTGTGAGGATCCATGAGGGTGAATTCTTGAGTACAGGACATAATGAAAAGTTATTTTTAACTGTTTTAATGATTTTCTTCCATTCTGTGTACTTCTGTTTATATGAAGAAAAAGTAGGATTTGGTAATACAGAAAGCAATCAAGACCTGAAGTTCTGGCACAAGTAAATGAATTCCAGGGTAGTGAATGTTGAGTGGTATCACCTGGTGCTGGAGATCCCTGTCTCCAGCAGCACCTGGGTCTGTTGCAGTGCAGGTGTGGGAGGGACACCAGCCTGCCAGAACTGCTGCAGTTCTTGGGTCTTCAGTGCCAAAAGGAGGAGCAGGGAAGCTTTGGCTCTCAGGCCAACTGCTCAAACCTCTGAAGGTTCTGTGTGTTGAAAACTGGTTTCCTTGCATGTACAGGATTTTATGGAATAACTATCTCACAAGACCCAGAAAGAAGCCCCTGCTGCTCAAATATTTGCTCCTTTGACTATCCTATGCCATATAACTTTTCTATAGCTGAAGATAATATTTTTAAAAAACAGTTACATAATCTAAAAGATGCTTCCAATCCCACACTTTTTAGTTACATTTCACTTGGCGAAAGGCATGCTCCGCTTTCCAGAAGTGGTGCTGCCTTGAGACTGACAGAGAATGTGTATTATTTCCCTGGGTTTGCATATGCTATGACAAAATAAATATTAATATATCATTTAAGTACCTGATGGCAGTAGATGTCTCTTCAAAGACCTAGTAATGATTAGCTGGAGCACTTTAACAATAGCCACTGCCAGAGTTAAAACATGAGCCAAGCCCAGAGCCTTCCCACAGAGCACAGTAAAGCTCTTGAACCAAACCTGGTGAGATCACTGCTACCAACTCATCAACAACACAGTGCAGGTTTTGAGCTGGTTATTGTCCTCTGGGCAATGGTGTTTGAGCTACTGCACTGTGAATCCTGGCCTTGTGGGAAATATTGCCTTTGCTGCAAAGCCAAACTCTGTGTAGATGACCATGCATGGCACTTTGAAAACTAAACTACATTAAGCCTTCCACCTTTGAAATAAGAAAATAACAAAAAATTTCAAACTTAGAATGTCCAGATGTCCAGTACTGTCATCTTATCAGAAATAATGCTAAACCAGCAGAATGCAAAGATCTCCAGCACTCAGACTTGAATTACAAGGTTACCACATTTTCTAATCTGCGATTCATGAGTTGGGTTTGATGCACTACTCCAATATTATAAAACTATAAAAAATAAAACTTTAATTTAATACTGATGAATACTGTAGAATTATTATTGTTATTATTATTGTCCAATAACAAAATACTTAAGCAAATTAATTTGAATATATTTTTCCCTATACCTACATCTATATGCAAGTTTCAGATGACCCACAGCTCAGAAATAATACTGCATTCATGGCTATTATTCAACTTTCTAATCCTTCTTACACTTGTTTTACTACAAAACCCCAGTACTGTAGGAAGAGATTCATTCTTAAAGAAGCAGTTAATGAAAATTTGCATTGTACACTATATAAGGAATTTTCATTACAGATATCAACAGAGATCATAAACTGGAATTTTTCTATCAAAAATAAGCAGTAAAACCCACTGAATCACTAAATAGATAGAATAATGAACTATATACTTGTCTCCAAGTGAGCTGGCAAAAGGCAGCAGAGTGCACATTATATACTTCTTACAGAATTCCTGTGAAATTAATAGGATGAAAGCATGCCTACAGATCTCACAATTTAGCTAGGATTTCGGGTTCATTTTCCCATATTGGAATGTATGAAGTTAGACACATTAAATAGAAACTGTTTGCTAAAGTAAATGTACTTTAGGAAAAAAAAAGAAAGGTAAGAAATAATATAGTGAAAACAGATTAGTTTCTGTGAGAAACACTCTTTTCCTTGGCAAAGTAGTAAAAGGATAACACACCTTCCCCATGGGAATATGGATAGTAAAGGGAAAACATCTCACACATTTTACACTTTCTGAGTGGTCAGGAAGAATTGTACTTTTCCAACTCCTTGCTGGGCCTTTGAGGAATAAAGAGAAAATAACACTGCCACTGGTCAGAAAACTGGTGAAAGAAAAGACAGGATAGTGAACAATTCTAACTGACTGAATCCTTGCCTTTCTTCTTGATTAGTATTTTTTTTTAAGTAGAGAATTTTCTACTCTTGTTATCACATTTCTCTGGCTTCAGGCTGCACTGTCCCTGACACATAATATGACCACTTAGATGTGAAAATGTTTAGAAATGTTTATAGAATGGAACTGCAAAAACAGAGGGGTATGTTGCCCAAAACTAAGAGTTAATAAAAGCTAGCAATAACTAAAAACATTAAAATTTCTGAACAGGCACGCTGTACCCATTTTTTATTGCATCACTATTATTTACTTGAGACACCTTTGCACAAGGAAGCAATGATGTCCACAGTATCTCACTCTCTTTCTGTGGCAACCAGAAGGATTAACCCTACTTTTTCTTGATTCTGAAGTGCCCTACTGAACAATACATTCAGAGACATTGGCTTTGATAATAATGGGAGTAGATAAACAGCTCTAAGTAACATTTGGAATCTTCATGTTAAATTATGCCCATTTATAATGTGAATATATAAATTATATAATAATATATATAACAACATTTTATCTGTGTAGACTCATTTATCTGCGGATGGAACATATGGAAAATATAGCAGGGAAAACTACAAAATACAGATACATAAATATGAAATACAAATAAAATAATAAATCATAAAGATCACTATAAATTTTTCTTAAAAGCAAAAAAAGTTTCATTCTGAATTCAGGTGAAGGTCAGACTTGGCTCCTTTAGAGAAACCCATCTGCTTATATACAGTATTACTTGGGGTCTACAACAGACCTTTCCCAGCACTATGGATCTTTATTCCACAGTGAGCTCAGAAAGCCCATGCTCAGATTTTAAAAAGACTACATCCTTGCTATATCTAGCAGAGTTTAAGGTCCCTCTGAATGAAGTGTAGCTCACACAGAGCAAGACTGGTCTGGAAACTTGGCCAGTATAAGGAGGATGAAAAGAGCATGACTGAGGGGTTTGCTTCAGAACTGCTTCAAGCTGCAAACAAAAGCCCCAATGTAGATATAACCAAAGGCCACCATCTGTAGTTTCTGGCATGCAGTGAAGTTTTGATTAATAAGAAAATTCATATGAAAAAGAGAGGATAACCTCTCTTCTCACAAACAGAGTTCATGAGATGTGTACAATGGCTTTTGTGGAGTTCTATCAGTGTCCCCCAGCACTCATACTCGGAGCATTGCTCACGGCTACAGGAAATTAAAAGCTCAAAACACAGTTGATGCTGTCTGACAAGAATGGTGAGCACAGGGACTGACACACTGAATTTGAGTCTGGATTTTAGGCAGAAGGGACAATTTTTTTGAAAGCATGATCCTTAAAACCTGATATGAGACTGTTTCCTTATAAAATTGTGGACTCATGGAAGTCCTAGATATCTCAGTTATAGTCTCCACGTCCAACTAAGAAAATAACCTAGCTTAGGTTCTGAAATTCTCTTGACACCTAAGAAAAAAACATCTCCTGCCTACCTCTGGAAAAGATTCTCCACCTTCACTCTCTTTCACAGCAAGTCTGATGGAAGGGAATGAAAAAGATTTGTTTGCTTACTGCGCTCATGAGAGAGTCCAGCACGCTGACAGCAAATGCGGTTCCACAAGCAAAAGGCTGCGTGAGATACAGTTCTGTGTCGGGATCATCATCATCATCTTGGTCCAAGAACTGAACATTTGAATCATTTACTGAAAATAACAATAATAATATTAGGAGTAGAAACGAAAGGTGTTTCTGGGTCACCAGCATGTGACCTTACACATCACACAGCCAAAGAAAAAGAAACGGCATATGTCTGGAAACACAGACTTGTGTCTTTGACGTCACTGAAAATGAAATCAAGATGGATGTGAAAATGTGCATTTAAAAATCTGCTGCTCATTATCTTGCTTGTAAGAGGTGACACTCTTGTTCTTGACAGGTTCCTATCCCTTTCCTGTAAAGCGGTTTTGTGGCACCAGTTGCCTGCGCTCAAAATGAGATTTATGATAAATTTGTATATTGAGACAATCTTGGTATATTGGCAGGGTACAGTGGCTGAGGCTGTATGCATGTACAGTTAATGTGAAATGCTATCACAAGATACAAAGTTAGAACCCCGTTGTAAAATAGAGGCTGTCAATAAAATGCTGATATAGCCCACAGGCATCTGTTAGATGTGCTGCTGTGATTCTTGCTGGAGTGGTGTTAATGCACTTAGGGCTCAAAAGAGGATAAACTGTCCCTTTAACATGCATCTATCTGAATGAATGAGCAGTTATTCTCTTGCAGCACTACCTTTTGTTCAAATATTTGTCTCTATAACTTCACTTTCTCAGCCACAAATTCTACATTAGCCCGTGTGAAAAAGAATCTAAATCAGGCTGTTTTAGAGAAAAGCACAAATAAAGTAGTATCTGTCATTTTGACTTTCTCTGGCATTTCATTGTCACAGTTAAGCCCTCTGCCTCCAACTCATTCCAACTAAAAATAGTTGTTTCCTTGAGATCAGTGTATCAAGTGGATCGTATTTCATGAAATATTTCATTTCCATATTAGTCTCCCTCAGGCATGAAAGCACAGACTGCTTAGCTATGCCATTGAAATACCCTTCAACTTACTAAATGACAAATTAATTTCAGTTCCCATGCAAGAAAGGGAAATGAAAAAGTTTTTGAGCATTTGAAACTGCATCCGCTGATGATATCCCTACTGCTCCTGTGAACACATCTCCTGAGCCAACCCAGCAAACTTTGAAAATAACATGAGAACTGCTGTTAACTTGATCAGATTTCAGCTCTGGACTTCTAAAGCCAGAAATGATTCTGCCTACTATTCTGATCTTCCTTCTCATACAGTTTCAATCCTTCCCATATAGTTTTCTTGTACATCCACTTCTTTTCCAAACTCTCTATACTACTGCGCTTGCTATGTTTAACTTACAAATCATTAATTACTGCAGATAAAGCCTCATGATAGCTGTATAAAAGAGATGAGGAGAGAATTTAAAAATGTTGCCTTTGCACTCCCTGATGTAATTGTTAAAGCATAATACCTTAGTACAGTAATAGGAGAAATGTTCTGCCCTAGGAATCAGAAGACTTTCATCCAAGAAAACACCAGGGTCCACAATACTTCTTTTTCTAGTACAATACCTATCAATTTAGGTAGATTCTTAAGCAATATAGTATTTGAAAGCCTGCTGTATCAAAATGTACTTTTTGAACAGCTTGTACCTCAGTTTAATTTGCTAGTTGAGCGTAGGCACTATTGACAGTAGCACTCTTTTTCCACTTCCATCTGGCAGGCTAACACCTGACACTGTGCTAGCCTGAGTGGGGTCAGTTCCTGAGCTACTAAAAATCTATCATGAGTTCTGCAGGTGTGTGTTTATCCTCAATATCTTTATCTTCCTGATGCAAGTTAGCACACTGGGATTTGTGGGCCAGGATAGCTGGGTGCAAATGGGTGGTGCTGTGCCACAGGGAAAAGCTCATCAAACGCTGCTCCAAAGGCTGGTGAGAGCACTCTGTGTTGAGAGGGAACCACACAGGAGCCTGGCTGCTCCTCTACAGCTTCAAAACCTGAGCTTCTGAGAAAAAGCCTTACTCTACAAAATAAACAAAAAGATAGCTTGAGGGAAAGTATGATGCTTGGGGTTTTTTCTGGTATCTTTTACTTCTTCTTGGACTTCCTGTGAAAAGCTGCTAAGGCATGTCCACCAAATTGACAACAGGCTGAAGTAACAAAAAGAAAGAGAAAGAAGAGAAAAGGAGAGAAAAATTGGTGTAGGAGAGTGAGGGCCAGGGAGGTGGGGACTTAGGCCAAAAAAAATGAATTGGTGAGGAGGTGCTATGAAAACAGCCGGCAGGTCAGACGAGTGTGATCAAAGGTTTACTGATGCTGCGTGAAAAAAAATCATTAAGAAGACCAGAACAAGACAGTCAATTTCAACCAGAACCACAAATAAAACACATTCAAAGCAGTGCCATGAGGGTAGCCCCTCTGATACAGCCAGATAAATAAAGGAAAAGCTGATGACAGTAAGAACAACAACAGAAAATAACACAGTGATGTGAAGGAAAAAGGCACTTCTTACCCAGTTCAGTTATCATTAGAATGTGGGTTCCACTGTTTTTTTCCTGACTGATTGAAACCAAAGGCAGAAGTTTGCCAGGCTTAGCTAGTAAGTAAAGTATTTAGGGGGGAAAGAAAGTACAGAAAGAGAATAAAGTAAGGGAAAAAGACAGGTAAGGCTCTAAAAAATAAAACTGAAAAAGAAAACAGAAGGACAAAGGACCACAAATCAAGTTTGTATTTGCCATGAAAGAAACAGAACAGCTTCTGCACTTCACATCACACCGCTTGACAACATAAATACCCACAGCCAGAGTGGAAATCAGAGTCTAGTTACCTACCATCATCATATTCTCAAGAGTGAAATATCTCATACTATTATACAGAGTTTGGTTACACATGATTAAACAGTTTTGGACCATGAAGAAATAAACAAATGGCCTCTTACAATTGATCAAATGCACAGGAAATATCTGCTTATACTTACTCTGGCCTTTTTCCTTTTCTAACCTTAGCCCAAAGACCCCTGCTTGTTTGTTACACTATGCAAAAAACATCTTGTCTGATAGATTATTTATTTAAGAAAATGGAGAAAACCCAAAGGAGGGAAATATATTTCAGTTATTCAAATAAAGTGAATCAACTGTTACTAAACTTTCTTTAGAGAGAGTAATTTAAAACACTTATCAAAAGAGAAAATGTAACAGTATGGGTAATTTTTCTGTATCTACATAACAAGGAAAGTGGGAAAAGGACATGGGAATGTATATGCAAGGATAAATTTTAGCTTTTCTTACCTAGCTCTGTTATAATAGGGATGTTGGCTCCTGTTGTAATGGAGGGTTGACGTAAAAGGCCATGGACTGGACTATTGTCTGGAGATGTCCTATCCATCCCAGGAGGTGTAAAGCCTAAAAGGAAGAAAGAAAAAAAAAAGAAAAGAAGAGAGAAAAATAGAGGAAGTTTACAGAGGACAAACTACACACACAAAAAAACCCCAAACAAACAAGCAAAAAAAAAAAAACATTCCAAAGCAAACACCTTTGCTTAAACAGCAATTAAGATTTTAAAGAGTACTGTTTGTAAAAGGTAATTCAACCATAAGGAACAAACTGCTTCCATTAGCCAGTTTTAGGTTTGAGCAGAAATCAAGATTTAAAATTATCCAACTGTTTTCCAACAGCACTACCACCCACACATGGTAGGGTTTTTGTAATTTTGATGTGTACCATTTATAATATGCATTTCTATGAGGATTACAATTGTAGGAATACTGGGATGGAAGGATCCAGTCTAAAAGAGAAAAAGATAGGATGAAAGGAAAGAGATACAGGTTTTCAAATGGTATGTGAGAGGATTGCTTGAAAAGAACTGGAAAGAGTGACAATTTGAAGGAAACCAAGGTGGAAGAAGAAACATGTTGGAAGGCAGTCACAGAAAAAAAAAATCAGGAGACCAGCAACATTCACCTTTAAAAAAGACTGTTTTCAGCCAGATTGTCTACTGTTTGAAATGGAGCTCTTGACATTGACTGTTTTTTGTTTTGGTTTTTTTGGGGGTTTTTTGTTTATGTTTTTGTTTTGGTTTGGTTTTGTTTGTTTATTCTTTTGGGTTTTTTGGGTTTTTTTCCTTCAAACAAAAAATATCCAAGCAAAACCTTTTGAATTTTGATTGTAAGTACTGAAAAATGGGTAGTCATACAAAAGCCTATGCAATAGCAGGACTGGAAATTCACCACTGAGACTGACTAATGCATTCCATCCCCCTTTTCCAGTAAAGCTATAGAAAATATAGAAAACATGTGAATGCTCATTTAATGTCATTGCAGAAGTGATGGTAAAGCTAGAAAGTGACTTTATGGTTTCATAGACCAATAGACCAATATCAAGGCAGCATTTTTAGACAAGTATTTGTCTGCTAGGAATAAAATTGAGCCAAGTTTACTTTAAACCACACTTAAAAAAAAGAAAAAAGATATTCCTTCTTTGACTTCACACCTGACATCCAGGTGACAGACCTTTGGTCCTTTGTCACTAGTGCTGAATTCTCCATACACTTATTCTCAACTTATTCACAGCCAAATTAATTCCTGACTTAAATTCACTATCTTCTTGCAGTGTGGAAATTGTTTCACTCCATTAAATTCATGGATACATTCACCTGGTACTAAATTCAGAGGAAGATTATATGATACCTTGCCTTCAATTTGGGGACCAATTTACAAACCAGGAAATCTCTAAACTAAATTGTAGTTCTTAGCATATCATACTGGTTTATATTGTCTTAAGGACTTATAGTTCTCTTCCAGTGATCATTACATCACTCTTAAACTGCCCCTAAACTACAAGGACCACGAGATCTGGGCTTCTTGATTTAATGGGATTTAATGTTCTCCTTCCATTCATCTATCTCTATGTTTTGTCTGTATCACACAGAGAATATACAGGTAATAAAACTAGAATCACTGGGAAGAGACTTCCCTAGCTCTGCAGAAGGTACTGGTATGAATTTCATTCTGACTATCACAAGAAAACTAGATGCAACATGGTGATTGTACAGACAGGATAGCTTAAAAAGAGAGCAAAAAGGAATTCTGTGAAGAATTCCTCAGGAGAAAAGAAGTGGATATGATATCTTCAACGGGCTTGTAAGACAAAAACATTGCCATAGGGAAACCTAAGCCAGTAGAGAAATTCTATATAACATTACCAGTGGATAGAAAATCTTTATAAAGCAGATTTCTTAGAGGCAATCAGAAATGTTAACAGTCAGCCATGTAACACCACCTGTGGTGCTGAACTCACAAAGACCAGCTTGGGGACAGGGAGTTGTGGTCCCAGCCAGTTTCAGTTTGCAGATGTTTCCTTCTATCTGGCACTATGACTGAGAGCTGTTTTGGCCCTTTGAATGTTTATCTCTTCATGGCAGCAATGTCAGACTGGTGAGCCTGAGGAATCTCGGGCTCTCCAGTCTGACACAGGTCTTTCAGTCACCACCTTGTAAGTTACAGGTAACACTGACACTCACAACAGCAGAAAAACTAAAGTGGGACTCCAGGGGGAGGAAATGCTATCTGAGGACAGGTGGGTATTAGTGTGACACTTCCTTCTGCAGCAGGATCCAGTGTCTTGTATTGTGTTATGGAATGCATTCTTTTAGGAGATGCAAGATACAGCCTTTGTCACATTAGAAAAAGCTCAGGTAGCTGCAGATTCCCTGTGCAGTTAAGGTGGCAGGCCCAGTTGGGTCTCCTGCTGAATTACAAATCAAAATGGCAACATGATGGCTTTTCATGCTCACTTATATAAAAGTAAAAAAAACCTAATTATTGTTCTCATGCACTCCAGGGATTATACTGCTCAGAGTATCCCTGGAGGCCCTGCTTCTCCCTTTTTTCTTGAAGCATTTCTGCCCACATCTCAGGGCACACTTCCTAAACCACCTTCTAGTGAATCAGGCCCTTCAGGTGGTAGGAGCACAGCAGTATTTCCCTGCCAGTTAAAAGCAAATTGAAGTAAGCTAGTGTATGTAACTCAGCTAAATGGGCAAGTTCTTCTTGCCTCCCCTTCACTGCAACGTGCACATACACAGAGACACGCACACTCTCCATCTAAGGCCATTTGTAGCCACCTCTCTAACCCTTAGAATATTTGTCTTCCTGGGATGGTGTCAGAAGATTGAAGTAAATGTGGCATTTTTGTTAGACACAGACTGTCAGAAGCTCTGTAATTGCACACTGCACACATAGTGCATTCAGTCTGAAATGCAGGAAGCATGTTAAAGGGATTGTGTTTTCTCCTTGAATGAAAAATAGACTCATGCCTTAATATTTTTCATCCTACTGTCTTGAAAGATGTGAGAAGTATCTGATAATTTAATTTCCTTGCTCGTACTTAATCCAGACACTTCTACAAATTTACTTTTAAGAAATATAAGAATTGTGGAATATTTCCAGGAAAAGGAAATATTTGGGGGTTTTGTGTGCTATCAAACACCTTCAAGACACATTCCTGCTCCCAAGTCACAAACTAATTTCCATACACAGGCTGTCTATTTTTTTCCTCCAGAAGAGAAAACAAAAAAAAAAAAAGGTGCAGGAAACTAACCTGCTTTATCAGAACTTTCATTTAAAGGCATGAAAAACTACAAGTGACAGCTGTGCAGATTCAGTGAATGTGACATTTTTGAATTTCTTCAACTTGACAAGTAAACACCTTAAATCGGTAATGCTATATGCATAATACATGACCTGTATTTTGACATCCATCATCAAATGCTGACTTGAGAAAATACAGGTTTGTACGTCAAGGAATAGCACCCATAAAGCAGGGAGAAATTCAGGTCACAGGGTATTAGGAAAACTCTATTTCATTACAGAAGCTGAAACAAGCTAAGGCATCAGATTTAAGATCCATTTTCAGCTGTGAAAAGATTCAATTCCTCTGCACAGAGCATTCATTTAGAAATGACATGCTTTCCTCACAGCTTCTTTTCATTTTCCTTTTCATATTCCATTTTCTCCTTCAGTCCCCAAACCTTGTTCCATTAATGCTCATAAAAATCGTAAAACAGGGCTGATAGTTGTGATCTTACAAACACAGTATCTCCTTGTTCTGCAAACAACTGGGGGAGCTCTGGCTACAATTGCTTAACCAGAGCAACCTCTGCAGTAAAACTCACATGCCTGTGCAAGTCTGAGCACGGTGCCTGTGGAAGGAAAAGCAGTGACAGTGGGGAGACTTCTGGAGAAGGTAATTCTCTTTGCCCTCAATTAGGAGGTAAGGCAAAATCATATCAGTTCCAGCAGTCACTGCAGCTGGTACTAAACTGCTGTACTGGGAGACTGGTTCACTGGCTTTACCTCAGGCCATGAACTTTTTCTCACTGTGAAACTTAGTTGTCAGTCACAGTCAGCCACCACTACTGGCTATAGTGATAATCACTTCAACATAGAGTTATAGAATCATTTAGGTCTGAAGAGTCCTTTAAAATCAAGTCCAAACACTAACCCAGCACTACCAAGTTCGCCACTAAACCACGTCACTAAGTGTCACATCTAAATGTCTCCTAAACACCTCCAGGGATGGTGACTCCAGCACTTCCCTGGGCAGCCAGGAAATGTTGTTCCAATGCTTGACAACCCTGACAGTGAAGAAATTTTCACTAATACCCAATCTAAACCTCTCTTGGCATATCTTGAGTCCATTTCCTTTTGTCCTTTCACTTGTAACCAGGGAGAAGAGACCAGCTCCCAGCTCACTGCCACCTCCTTCCAGGTAGGTGGAGAGAGCAATGAGGTCTCCCTTATCAAAGTGAGGAAGCTTCAATAGGAGGCAGAACTACCCCTCTCTGTCTCTGAAACAAGATACTGCCAAGCAGTGGATTAAGAATATCACAGCTCTGAGAGGAACACAGGTTTTGGGCTCCTGACATACTCCAAATCAGTAAGGCCTGGCAGTCAGCAGTCACTGCTTCTCTCCTGGCAGCAGCATCCCTCCCTGACAGGCAGGGACTCCCATGTCTCTCCTCAGCTGCCTGCTCTGAAGGAGTTTGAGCCTCCAGCACTTCTCTGCAGAAAGCTGATGGTTCAGTGTCTTGGCTTTGAGCAAAGAGCATTTCCCAGCTCCCTCTAAGGTACTACTGCTCACAGAAGTAGGCAAAAACCAATCAATTACATCAGAAGCAAAGATCTAAGTCTTAAAGATGTTCTCACCTTTGTGGAAAGAGAACACAGGGGAAATTTCCTCGGTAATAGCAGGCGAGCTCTTTTTACCAGGAGATGCAAGTGCTCTCCTGCTCTGAGCTCAGCATGACCAGGTGGCTATGAAACCTCACTGTCCCTAACAAAATACCACCAAAAAAGGGATGAGCAGCACTGGGATCATGAGCTCTGTGCCTCTTGAGCCAGCTG